AGGTGGAAGGATCGCCGGAGTCCAGCAAGTCGAGGCTGCAGTGGCCGGAAGCGGCCACTGCACTCCAGTCTGGGTGACAGAGTGAGATTCCAATTCAAAAACAAAACAAAACAAAACAAAAACAAACAAACAAAAAAATGAATTAGAGGAGCTCACCAGATTAACATAAAAATGAAGGGGACTCATAAGATTATCTTGATAGGTGCAGAAGAAGTGCTTGATAAAATTCAACACCCATTCACAATTTTAAAAAATTTAGGCAACCCAGGAATAGTATCTTAATAATATCTAAATACAATATCTAAAACTAAACGAAGCACAGGCAAACATTTTGTGTAATGGTGAATTATTGAATACTTTCCCTCTCCATCACCGCTTCTATTTTATTGTACTAATTGATTGGCAGTATCTATTAAAGCTGGCCATATGTCTACTTTCTGACCCAGCAATTACTTTCCTAGAGAAATACTCTGCAGAAATGTGTGCGCTAAAAAGATATGGATTAGAATGTACCAGAAGTTCTAGTCAGTGCAGTAAATCAAGGAAAAAACAAAACTGACATTATTCACAAAAGACATAAGGATGTACACAGGAAAGAAACAATTACAATTAATAAGATAACTTAGCAAGATCACTGGATTCAAGGTCAATATGCAAAAATCAGTTGTTTTTCAGATGCCAGCAGCACGTCAAAAATGAAATTAAAATTATGTTCATAGCAGCACTGTCCACAAGATCCCAGACTGAAGACTGCCATCATCAGGAGGAAAGATAAAGTGTTAGGGAACATGCTACACCGAGACTTGAATAAAGGACAACTGTACACAACGTGGGCAAATCTGGCAAATATGATCTTGAGTGGAAAAGGCAGACACAGAGTTGTCTACATCATATGATTTCGTCTCCATAAGTTCACAACTCAGCAGAATTCGTCTGCATGATTAGAAGTCAAGATAATGGACACTCTTGTGGTGTGGAGGAAGGGTGGAGGGGGTGAGAAAGAGAAGTGATTGAGCTGAGGCTGTGCCGATCTGTTAAAGTTCTTTTTTCTTGAAAACCAAACACCACATGTTCTCACTCGTACATATGCGGGAGCTAAATGGCCACAAGACGGAAATAATAGACACTGGGGACACCAAGAAGGGGGGAGTTGGGAAGGGGACTAGGGTCAGAAGTTAGCTATGGGGTACAATGTTCACTATCTGGGGAATCCACCTGAGAAACGATCCGCACAACTATATACTATGTCCATGGAACCAACATGCATGTGCACCCTCTGATTCTAGAACAAAGCAACCAAAAAAACCCTTTCTGTTTCTTGATATGGGTGCTGGTTATATGTGTGTATTGACTTGGTGATAATGAAGCAGTACACGTAGGATATTTGAGGTTTTCTGTATATTTATTATACTTTTTAAAAATTCTTAATTTTAAATTTGTGGGGTACAATTCAGGGTTAGCTATACAGATGTCCACTATGCAGCTACCCTTGTTGATGAGGTGTGCTCCCTTCTCCCCTGGTGGCTTCCCACTACTGCCAATCCCTTTCTTATAGTATTACGAGTTGTTCAAGATCCGCTTATGGATGAGAACATGTGATACTCGGTTCTTTGTTTCTGTGATAGATCGCTCAGTATTATGCCTCCAAGTCCATTCAAGTGACTGCAAAGTTCATAATGTTGTCCTTTATGGTTGCATAATATTCCATTGTGTATACGTACCACATTTTCTTATCCAGTCCTCCTTTGATGGGCAGCATGGTTGGTTCCATGTTTTTGCTATTGTAAACAATGCCACAATAAACATGCATGTGCAGGTGTCTTTTTCATAGGGTGATTTGAGTTCCTCTGGGTATATTCCCAGCAGGGGGATTGTGCCGTCATATGGGAGATCGATTTATTTTGGGGGGGGGATTGCCACACTTTTTCACAGAGGCTGTACTAGTTTACACTCCCACTGACAGTGTAGAAGTGTTCCCTTTTTGCTGCATTCAGTCCAGCATGTTTTTTCAGTTATTGGTGATGGCCGTCCTGCCTGGAATCTGGTGGTATCTCAAGTGTGATTTTAATTTGCATTTCTTTGATGACTAGTGAGGTTGAGCATTTTTTCATGTGTCTGTTGGCTGCTGGTATGTCTACTTTTGAGAAGTGTCTATTCATATCTTTTGCCCACCTGTTAATGGGGCTGTTTGGTTTTTTCTTTTCAGCACCTCTGAATTCCTTAGATCCCTGCAGGCTTGAACTCCTGGTCTCAAGCAGTCATCCACCTCGGCTTCCCAGAGTGTTGGAATTACAGGTGTGAGCCACCGCACCTTGCCAAAAGTTTTTAAATTTTTATTTGAATTCAGAAGACTTTCCCTAGGCAGAGGTCACATACATGAGGAGTGTCCGGCTGCAGGGACCAGAAAAGGCAGCCCCCTCTGGTCTGGGCGCTTCACTTGACCTCGGCCTCCCAGAGCCGAGAGGGCTGCAGGGAACAGTGTCATTCAGGGGAGCTTCCGGGAGGACCCAAGAGTGGGCCACAGAGACGCTTTGGGAGAAAGAGTCTGAGAGTCCCTGAACGCTGCGCTCCGCACGCGGGGTCTGTGTCTGTGCGCGCGCGCTTCCCTGGGGGAAGGGCCCGCCGCGCTCGCTGCTTGGAGACGTCTGGAAGCCGCCTGGGGGTCTCGGGTGCCGGCGACCAGCCTGGGTTCCCTCGGATCGCTCCCGGGGAGGCGGTCGGTCAGCCCGGTGCTGCGAACCGGCTCAGGCTCGCCGGTCCCCGGCGGGGGGCAGGGCGGTCCCCCACTCTGCGGGGGCAGGAGGGGCGCGCGACTGCCGGGGCAGGCGCGGGGGTGTGGCGAGGGCGATCCCGGGGGAGGGGTGGAGAGGAGTGGGGGGGATGCAACCTCCCGAGGGGCGGATTCGCGGCCGCTGCAGGCTAAAGTCGGGGAGCCGGCGGGGAGCTTCGGCGACATGAGGCTCGTCGCCTGCGCCCTGCTGCCGTGCGCCGCGGCCCTGGGTGAGTGCGCGCCGGGGGCGCAGGGGAGAGCTCGGGGAGCTTGGGGGGGCGGGGGTTGGGGTTGGGGAGGGGGTTGAGTGGGGCTCCCCCGGGACGCTCCAGGGTCCGCGCCGCCGGGACCCAGCCCCAGTGAGCCTTCCACCCGCGGGGCGTCGCAGTGGACCCTTGGGTCCCCGCAGGCCGGGGACGAGTTTGCAGAGTGGCCCGCCGGCCAAGTCCGTCCCCCGCCTGTGCGGAGCTGGGATGCCGTCTACACCAGTTGGTGGCGGAGAAGGAGAGCCAGGGAGTCACGCTACGTGCCTCGAAATGTGACGAAATTCAAATGTGTGCCCATCAAGGAAATGGAACTGAACAGTCCTGCTTGTTCAGTGAGGTCTTGTCCATGGCTGCATTCAGGCTTGTCCAAATCAAATGTAGCGAAGAATCTAACTTTAAAGCATTTTTATTCGGAAAGCAAGAAGTACAGTTCGGGATGTACACACGGACTGGGGCGTCTTCCACATGTCAGGAGAACATAGGGAAAGTTGGAGGTGGTGTGCAAAAAGGACAGCGGGGAATAGTGTTTGTCAAGAAAGCCGGGGTGGGAGGCGAGTTGTGGGGAGTTGGCAAGTTTTGATGGGTGCGTGACTGCGGATATAGCTAGTTTTTGGTGTCTCAGCAAGTTTCAGGAGCTATTAGATGAAACGCCTCAGATTACAAGAGACAGTTTCAGCCCTGGCTTGCAGAGATATATCCTTGGGGCAATGTCATGTGCCCTGAGTGCTTTTCCCTGCTGGCCTCTCAACTCTGTTTTAGGGGTATGACAAGAATGGCCCAATCCTGTGTTATCAACTGTCCAGGCTTCAAGGGCAGAGTTGTCACAGACTGTGTGGCACACAAAACTTGCACTGTTTTTACATCTTAGCCCATGCCAGAATAGGCTCATGACCTCTGGAGTAAGGACTGTTGATCTAGTTTACAGTGAAGGAAAGGATCAAAGGAGAGAAGAGGTTTTTTTAAAAGTTGTGGGGTACAATTCAGGGTTAGGTATGCAAATGTTTGTTATGCAGGCACCCTTGTTGGTGAGGTGTGCCCCTCCCTCCCCTGGAATTTTCCCACCACTACCAGTCCTACCCCTACCCTCCTCTGGCAGGTTCCCACTACTGCCAATCCCTTTCTTATAGTATTATGATAATTGTTCAAGGTCCGCTTATGAGTGAGAACATATGGTTCTCTGTTTCTGTGATAGATCGCTGAGTATGATTAACTCTAAATCCACCCAAGTTGCTGCAGTCCATATGTTTGTCCTTCTTTATGGCTGCATAATGTTCCATTGTGTATATGTACCACATTTTAAAAATCTATTTCAGCTTTGATGGGCAGCATGGTTGGTTCTGTGTTTTTGCTGTTGTGAATAGAGCGCAACAAACAGGCGTGTGCAGGTATCTTTTTTGTAGAATGATTTGAGTTCCTCTGAGAGGGAGATTGCTGGTTCATATGGAAGGTCAATTTCTAGTTCTTTCAGAAATCACCACACTGTCTTCCAAAGAGGTTGCACGAGTTTGCATTCCCACCAGCAGTGTAGAAGTATTCCTTTTTCTCCGCATCCTCGCCAGAATCTATTGTTGTTTGTTTTAGTAATGATGGCCATTCTTACTGGGGTTGGGTGGTATCTCAGTGTGGTTTTGATTTGCATTTCTCTGATGATGACTGAGGCTCAGCACTTGTTTGTGTGTCTGTTGGCTGCCCGTATATCTTCTTTTGAGAAGTGTCTATTCATATCTTTTGCCCACTTTTTAATGGGCTGTTTGTTTTTTTCTTTTTGGCGCGTTTGAGTTCCTTGTAGATCCTAGATGTTAGGCCTTTGTCAGATATACAGTTAGCAAACATTTTTTCCCATTCTGTGGGCTGTCTCTGAGAAGGGATTTTTGTTCCCAGTGCTAAGAGTTATTACTAAGGGTGAAGGACACATGGCAGGTATGCCTAACATCTAGCCAGAGGGGTCTTTCTTGCCCTGAGCTGGACAGCGCCTCCTACCTCTACCACTCAAGGAGGCAGGGGATGTAGAAGGATGGGGGGAGAAAATCCCCCTAGAGTGGAATCCACCAGTCACTCACTGCAGTGTGACTCAGGGCTGTCTCTTGACCTCTCTGAGCTGGCTTTATTTAGGAGGAGTTGCCTTTTCACAACACACACACGGCGACTGTGCAGATGAGATCGTGTACCCTATAGCAGGTAGAGCTGTAGGCGTGGTGAATTACTGCTGGTAAAAACCCTGCTGGTAAATGCAGGGGGCCCTTCCTATGTTGGGAGGGTAGGGTCCTCCAGGGATCTCAGCTGGGTAGCTGTGAGGAAGCCAACAGTGCAGCCCTGGTCCACAGCTTGGCTCTGTTCAGGCCTGGTTCTGCCGCATCTCAGGCTGCTGGAAATAACTTCTGGGGTAGCGTATCTTACTTAGGGGGAGGAGAGACCCAGGACAGGGCAGAGCAGGGAGAGGGCAGAAAGGGAGGGCAGCGGGGTGGGGGCCCCTCCCTAGCAGGTGCGCCCCATGGGCCACACAGGGAGCGCTGCTGCCCTGGAGAAGGTCGGAAGGGTGGAGCACAGCTGTGGACCAATTGCAGTCACAAGGAAACCCAAGTGTAGTCCCTCCCTTCTCTTTCCCACATTCATCCTGAACAGACATTGTGGCATTTGTTCCTCCCCTGTCTCCTCTCCTGGCAATGTCAAGCATTGACCCAAAGTTCATTTTTCCAGTTGGCTCTGTGTTTACAAACCAGAGGCAAGAGCTCTGTCTCTTGGCTGCCATCCCTCCTCCACCCTCCCACCCTCCTGGTGGCTATACCGGGCTGGAGTCTGGGACCTGCTTCCTTCAAAGCTCAGGGTTCTAATCCAACAAGAACTCTTCTGGGGACAGACGACAGAAACACAACCAAAGTAGCATAAACCCAAAAGACCAAGGGGAGGGCGACAGTTATTGGTAGGACCTGCAAGAACCGGGATCCAACAGCCTGCATCTCCATGTTGGCTCCTCCTCCCACCTCCTTTCCAGCCTCCTGCTCTAGAAAGTTCTTGAAAGAATGACTTTCTCTATTCAGTGAGAATCAGCAAGCTTTCCCTTCGAGGATCAGTTTGAAATGCTCACAGTGGGCTCTGATTGCCCCCTCTTTTTTTAGGGGGAAAGAAAGGAGTAAAACTATTTATGGTTTGCAGATGAGATAATTTTATACATAGAAAATCCTGACAAAATTATTCACAAAATTATTGTTAAAAAGTAATACTATTAGATACAATAGAATAAACTCAGTATGGTTGCAAGATATACAATCCATATCTAAAAATTAATTGTGTATGCTATCAACAAACAACTTGAATGTAACATTCAGAAAACAATTTAATTTTTAATATCTTCAAAATAAGTAAATATTTAGGAAAGATTTTGGCAATATAATTTCAAAATGTGTGCACTGAAACTACAAACATAATTGAAAAAAGCTAAAGAAGACCTAATAAATGGAAAGACATTTTTTTTTTTTCTTTTAAAGATGTGGGAGCCAGGCTCGGTGGCTCAGCCTGTAATCGCGCGCCTTTGGGAGGCTGAGGTGAGTGGATTGCTTGAGCCCGAGGGTTCGAGACCTGCCT